AGACATGCAGGTGAAAAAATTAACCCACAAAAATTAAAAATTAAAAAAAATTTGAATTACACTTTAAGTCCTGGGGTACATGTGCAGATCATGCAGGATTGTTACATAGGTATACACATGTCTAGGCGGTTTGCTGAATCCATCCCCCTCATCATCTACATTAGGCATTTTTCCTGTTATCCCTCCCCAATCCCACCAAACTCTATTATCCCTCCCCTAGCTTTCCCACCCCCTGACAGGACCAGTGTGTGATGTTCCCCTCCCTGTGTCCATATGTTCTCATTGTTCAACACCCACTTATGAGTAAGAACATGCAGTGTTTGGTTTTCTGTTCTTGTGTCAGTTTTCTGAGAATGATTTAAAAGTTAGTTGTGTGACCTTAAGTTTCCCATCATCAGTTGCTTTATTTGAGAAATAGGGATATTAATGCATTTGCACATTTAATAAATGGAAACTATCAAAATGAAGATCATGAAGCAGAGAAAGTGATATTAGTGTTAGAAAACAGTACCATCCGATTGACAATCTAGTTGTTGCTTACAGACTTATTCATAGGTATATGCAGAGCTATTTATATCTACAGCAGGATACATGTTACTCACTGGACAAGTTTTCACAATAACCATGTGAGGTAGATTTTATTGGGGAAATAGAAGCACAGAAAGAACAATTAGCTTGGCAAATATGTGGCAAACATAGCTTCAAAATTAAGCTATTTTCCTCCAATGCTAAGCTCTTCAGGCTCTTTTTAATGCATTATGTTATGTTGGAAATTCACTTAAAAGGCAAGAACTTTTCTTTGGAGGTGAAAAAACAAAGAAACAGAAATTCATACTTAAGCAGTGTGTGTTTGGGTTGTTAATCCTTTTTTTTTTTTTTTTTTTTTTTTTTTTTTTTTTTTTTTTTTTTGAGATGGAGTTTTGTTCTTTTTGCCCAGGCTGGAGTGCAATGGCAAAATCTCAGCTCACTGCAACCTCTGCCTTCCAGTTTCAAGTGATTCTTCTGCCTCAGCCTCCCAAGTAGCTGGTATTACAGGCACATGCCACCACACCCAGCTAATTTTTGTATTTTTAGTAGAGATGGAGTTTCTACTGCCTGTTTCAGCCTCCCAAAGTGCTGGGATTACAGGCATGAGCCACCATGCCTGGTCTAGGTTTTTAACTTCTAACTGTAATTATTTTAATATTTTTAGAATTAAAAGCAATTAAACAGTATTGCCTTTCTTAAACATAGTTATAATTTTTAAAATCATCATTCCAATTATTTTCTAGGAAGTGTATTCCTTCGGACACGCATTTGCCAGTAAGCCACATTACGTTTTATGTTGTTCATACAATAATAAGAGTTTTTGCCACAAAATAGTTTTTAATCAAAGTACTTATTTATTTTTAGGCTGTATCTGTTTTGCTGCTACCATTATTTTCTTTTATACTGTTAACCTTTTCTTCTGCATTTGTAGTTTTAAAAATATTTTAGGTTTGTTTCTGTTCTTACGTTGTTGCTAAATTCAATAAATAGAGGGTCATTAACCTGAGTCATACCTGACTATGGAACAAAAAGACCCTATACAGAAAAATATTTAAATTTACATTTTATTTACTATGTTTTGTTACTTTGCAATATTTAAGTTGCTACTTTATTTCTGACAGGTCTTTTGAAGCATTGCATCTATATGTACATTCCTGAAATTATTACTTTAATTTCTAAAAAAATAATTTATTAATATACCAAATGTAGTATGTACAAGTGGATTATTGTATATTTTTTCCAAATAAATAAAATATTTGGGGAAACACCGAAAACAAATTAAATTATTTCCAAGTAAGTGGATCCTATAAATGTGATTTTCTATGTTTTAATGAGCCCTTTTATACTAAGAATACATTAGTTTTTCTCTGCTCCACTGTGAGAGAGCATTCTGAAACATAACTCAGTTTTATAACTCTCTTTATAGATTTGGCCTTTTGGGGGACATCTGATTTCTTTATCTCATTCCCCTGTCATTCATGGTAAAATACTGCTGCACTCTGAAATAGTTCTGAAAGTGATCTTATGCACACTTTAAATTGTCTCATAACAGAAATCTTTCTTTTCAAATACATTACACTAATGGGTATACATTCCCCCCCGCCCCGGCATTTATATTCTATATGTTAAAGTTAAGGTCAGTTACAGGAATACTGTAGTTAGCACTCATGCCTTATTCCTTTCTGAGTAACTCCTAAATTAATTTCTAAGGAGAAAAAAAGGAATTAAAGTGATACAACGTTGATGCTGTTATGATAGCAATAAGATAAATCCAAGGAGATTTAAGCCCTGACCCTTTTTCAAAATCATCAAAATGTTCCATTGGGTTAATTATAATAATATATCACAAATAATTACAGAATCAGAGAGTAAGAATTCTTTTTTCACTCTGGAAGCCACGTGAACTCTACTCTGTCAGAAAATCTAATTATAAGTCTGATAATAATTGGACTAGATGACCCAATGACAGTCTCACAAACTTAAACTTGCCTCTAAATCTAATGATGTCTGATTTTAGCCTGTTCTCTGCTCTTACCTCTGTAACATTAACCAACAAGGTATAAGCATGATAACATATTAAAATTACAAGTTTGCAACCAAACTTGTATTTTGTAAGCATACTTAATGACTGCTTTTAAGAATTCATGGTGAAATCAACCTGGTGAATATATAATATAAGAAAATGAAAGTTAATAGTCTTGAGTCACAGTTAATCTTTGTTCTGTCACCTATTAGTTGCAATTCACTTTTCTTCTATGGAACTCAATTTTTCACCTAAAAAATGTTAGATAGTGTCATCATTTCAGCACTTTTAAATTCTAACAATAGAATGCATATACCTCACACCTTGTCATTGTGATAGTACACTATTCAAGTTAAGAGCATCTTTAATTGATATTATTTTGATATACTGAAGAGACCTCTAAGAAGTGTATTGTAGTGATGTTCTGTAATATTTATTAGTTGAAAAATATAACAAAAAGTAAATTCAATTATAATTTGAAAGTTAATTTCTTGGTGAAGGGATTTGTGCAAATACTATATAATATGTACAAAAATAAATTCCTTAATGATTTCAACATGCAAAAAAGAAGTCCTTTCAAAATTTTAGGTTTCAATAATTTAAAAAATTATCCTTAAATCTTTTAATTATTTAAAATTCCTAGGATGTAAAAAAAAAGAATTAAAAAATATATAAATGATTTAATATGGATAAATCCTTGAGGAAGAGAGCAGAAGGAGAAATAAGTAATTTTAATGCAGCTCTAAAAATAAGCTGTTTCTTATTTTCTTGAGCAGAAATTTATTCTGATGTTGAGAAGAAATAAAATATTTTGCAGCTATAGATAATATAATGACCCACATATCTTGAAAAGCCAATCTATTTTTTACTTATATTATCTTTTATCAGCTCTCATTTAATCATTAGCCAAATATTGTTAAGTGTGCTACATAACCATCATATTATTTCAATGAATATCAAATCAAAACCACAGATTCTGTTTCAAGAAGTTAGTTTAGTATAATTGAGGAAGATCAGCTTACAATAAAAGACAGGATATAGACAAGTTACAGTCAACTTCTGTGAGAGTGAACAAGAAGTCTGAAGCAATTGCAAATCTAGGAATTAAAGAAATGTTACATGAGATGTGTAATAGATTAGTGGGACTTCTTCACAGAACAGGAAAGAGGTAGGTGTTCTAAATAGGGCACATTCCAAGAAGGAAGTTCTAAGGTGCAGTTACGCTCAGAATCTTTGGTATTTGTGCCGTAACTGGCTTACCCAGAAGCTAGGTATTACTGAGTAATATGAGTTGCAGCAAAATTAAAGAGGCCTTTTAATGCTAGGTGGAATAATTATAACTTTATCCACAATGGGTAAGTGTTAAACAATTTAGAAAAGAATTATACAATTGATTTTGCAGAAATATACATACAGAATCATGAAGTACAAATAATTCCAAATGGAGGGTGGAAAAGAGCACCAGAGAGCAGTAATATAACTGTCAGCATTTTGTTTAGCTATAAAAGAGTGTGACAGACTGAATTACTACATCAATCCATTTATGATTCATGTAAACACTTCTTGTAGAAATAAATTCCTAAATTTCTATTTTTTTTAAATTATTCAAATTGGTACAATTTACTCCCATGTTTAAATGTGGTTTTGTTTTACAAATATAGTGGGAGAAAAAAAAACTACTATATTTTCTATAGATACACACACACACTTAGAAACTATATTCTAAGTGTTTATTTCCTTCTGACTCTTGAGGATATAATATTAGAATATTTATAATATATGAGGGAAATACGTTTTTTGTAATGTCTCTGATCATATAATGTCATCCATCAGACTGCTCAGGTGGAGAACAGCTTAGCTAAACCCTCCTGGCCCCAGTCAAACACAGGATGCCTCAATTCTGAACAGGTCTATTACAAAAAAAAAATAAAATACAATGAGAAATGTTGTGTATTTTGAATAATCTGAGGGTCAACTGCATCACTATCACATCCCTTCAATCTCTTGAGCAGAGATATATTACTTCATGTATCAGGTGTCATGGTACCAAGCTGAAAAGCTTGGGAAGAAACAGCCCTACTCTTACCTAAATCTGTGAACATTGTAAACTTGCAGGTTAAAAGATATACTCGCATTAATTTTAGTTCTCCAAGTAAGCATCTATTTTTGTACAAACTTTGGCTAACATTGTTAAAATACTTTGAAACATTTTGGAGATGAAATCAGAACCTTTTACTACACTTTCTATGATGATGATTTCTTTCAAACACTCTGACACAGGAAGTTGAAATGCATATCATAAGAGAAAATAAAACCCACTTAGGTACAAATAGAATAAATAATTAAAATATTTCCGCGTCTTTATAACAAAGTCTACCCCAGAGACCAAGCAAAGCTAAGCAAACAGATCAAACCAAAGCAGAGAACAATGACAAAAATCGGCACTTACCCGTATTTTGCAAAATTTGCCCAACGTTTCACTATGGATCTACTCAAAATTTCTTCAGCTTTTGTGTAATTAGCTCTTCTTTCCAGAGGTAAACCAAAGACAAATTCAATTTCATAGCCATGCATCACTCCCATCCATTCTGGCCACGGAAGTTTGGAGGATCGGTGTTCAAAATAGTAGAAAAAGGCGTCGTTTCCCCATTCTGAGAACTTCTTTGTAAACTCCAAGGCTGGGCATATAATATTGTAATCCCCAACAACATCGTCCAAGGCCTCACGGTAGTTTTCAGGTCTCTGATCATCTACCCAGTCTGTGTAATGAAAAAGGATGGATTCCTTTCCAAACTCACTCACTCCTGGAAAAAATATTTTTAAACCTTCCTGAAATTCTTTTCTAGTTATGATACTATTGTTATCTTTGCTGAAGCCAGGAGCCCCATAGACTAAAAAAGCTGTCCCTTCATCTTTATTAACACCCACCAAAATCTGGGTTTTTTTAAATTGTCCAAGTTCAAGTAATATGTCTGGCATGTCAATGAGAAAATCACCATCCACTGTGGGACCAAAGTTTACTGACAAGAGAGTTCCGTAGGGAACAACAAATGCTTCATTCAGAAGAATTTCTTGGGGATCTTTGTTTTGAAGGCATTTGACTATTTCAGTCTCATTTTCTCTAGAGCAACCAGTAAATTTAGCTAAGGCCAACGTTCTGTTCCTAGCTTCATAAAGAGATGTTACTGCCCAAGGAGCATTAGAGGAACCACTTTGCAGAATGGCTCTGGTGAACAAGGAATGGCTTCCAGGAGAAAGCAAATGCAGACTAACTGAAGCTGCTCCTGCACTTTCTCCAAAAAGAGTTACACTTTTAGGATTTCCACCAAAGGCTGCTATATTTTTTTGAACCCACTGAAGAGCCAACTGTTGATCAAATAAACCCATGTTTCCTGGAGCCTCAGGATTTCCTGGCAAAGCTAAGAATCCTAGAGCACCCACCCTATAGTTCATTGACACTACAATAACTCTTTCGACCCGAGCAAGAAACTTGCCATCATAAACATGTAAGGATGATGTTCCAGTTTGAAAACCACCACCATAAATCCATATCATTACAGTGGCATTTTTTGGTTTAGGTGCTGGAATCCACACATTTAGATATAAACAGTCTTCGCTGAGGTCAGTGTTTGGGTTCCACATCTCTGATCCATAGAAACCTGGAAAACTTTGATCTATGTTCTGATAGCAAGAATTTGCATATTTTGTGGCATTCCAAATATCAGACCACTTGGTCAGAGGTTGAGGTTTTTTGAATCGAAGTCTACCAAGAGGTGGCTGCGCATAGGGAATTCCAAGAAAGGCTGTTACTGTGCCACCAAGAACTGGCAAGTTCATCCCTCTGACTTTTCCATTCTTTGTTGTGATTATGAGGTCATCTTCAGTATGTGACTTCCCAATAAACATGCAGAGCAAAAGAAACCAAAAGAGAAATCTGATGCTTATGATTGCGACCTTGCTATGCATACTGATTTCTGAAAAAGAGGTAAATATAATGTTTTATAAGCCTTCTGTATATAGTATATTATACTTTACTGATGAGAATTCCTTAAAATATAGTAGTTGTTAATTCTACAAATTATGAAAACAAAACTGCTTCTATAAAGGCCTACATAGAAAAAAATAGAAAACAGATATTTCAGTTTTCAATTTAGAAAAAAAATAGTGAAATGGAAAATTTTAAAATATTTATTTTGGGGATACTTACTGTCAAACCTTTGTAAGGGAGAGGTTGTACTTTGAAGAGCAAGTTTGTCCTAGTCATATTTAATGTTACTTCTGACTATATGTACAGCTCCACCAAAAAAGCAGTAAACAGTAGTTCACCTACATCAGATATGATTTCTGCCTTGGTAAGAAGAGAAAATACAAGCTCATATATTCTCTGAAATATTATGCCTGGTTGGCACTTGGCAGAACTGATAAGTAAAGAACTTTTAAGGATCAATAGATTTTCATCATTGTTCTTTTCTGTTTTCCTTCTGTTTTCTGTAGTCCCTTTTGCCAAGCAATAGCTTCCTCTGTACAATCCTAGCATATGAACTGAAGATAATTTAGACAATTTAACAGATGCTGGAGAGGGTGTGGAGAAATAGGAACACTTTTACACTGTTGGTGGGAGTATAAATTAGTTCAACCATTGTGGAAGACAGTGTGGTGATTCCTCAATGGCCTAAAAATAGAAATCCCATTTGACCCAGTAATCCCATTACTGGGTATATATCAAAGGATTATAAATCATTCTACTATAAGGACACATGCACACAAATGTTCACTGCAGCACTGTTTACAATAGCAAAGACCTGGAACCAACCCAAATGCCCATTGATGATACACTGGACAGGGAAAATGTGGTACATATGCACCAGGGAATATTACGCAGCCATCAAAAACTATGAGTTCGTGTCCTTTGTAAGGACATGGATGAACCTGGAAACCATCATTCTCAGCAAACTGACACAAGAGCAGAAAATCAAACACTGCATATTCTCACTCATAGGTGGGTGTTGAACAATGAGAACACATGGACACGGGGAGGGGAGCACTACATACTGGGGTCCGTTGGGGGGAAATGGGGGAGGGACAGGGGGGTGGGGAGGTGGGAAGAGATAGCATGGGGAGAAATGACAGATATCGGTGAGGGGAAGGAAGGCAGCAAACCACACTGCCATGTGTGTACCTATGCAATGATCTTGCATGTTCTTCACATGTACCCCAAAACCTAAAATGCAATAAAAAATAATTAATTAATTAATTAATTAAAAAGATATTCCACATTGTAAAAAAAAAAAAAGAATATTAAGTAACAAATATATGGTAGTAACCACTTATTCTACACATTGTGAAAACTGACAAACATGCTACCATTAGTAAGAGCTATGGAAAAAATAAAGAGCAAGGAGGGAGGAAATATTCCAGGCAATTTCTCTAAAATTTAATAAACACAAGGGACTTCTCTATCAGATTTATAATGTCAATGGAGAGAAACAGTGGCTAGTATTATAATGTCTGGGAGAAGATAATGGCTTAAGAGAAATTTCATACTCACTATGACTCAACATGTATTTGTTATAGCAATTGGTTAACAGATTAAAGTATATGCAACTAGTGAAGCTAAATGTGTTAGCACAGTCAAAATTACTTGTATTTTGATAGTGAAAAAAAAAATGACTAAAATCGAGGATCAAAGCTGGAAAATGATTGGGCCACATGGCAGAAGCAAAAATAATCTTTGTTACCTACGAAATCATAAGTATTTGACATTTATGAAATAATATTTATTGGATGACATAAAGAGACTATTTGGGGAGATCAAAGTTTTATCAGAAATTCATAATGCAAACTTGAGTTTCTTTTCAATGAAAAAGAAATTGGAATCAGGTTTGGAAACTGTGATAAAGATGGACAGCAAAATGTGATGCAAATATCATTTAAAATAACTAATGTCTTTCTTTTGTTTCGAGACGGAGTCTCGCTCTATCACCAGGCTGGAGTGCAGTGGTGCGATCTCGGCTCACTGCAACCTCCACCTCCTGAGCTCAAGAGATTCTTCTGCCTCAGCCTCTCAAATAGCTGGGATTACAGGCATGTGCTACCATATCCAGTTAATTTTTGTATTTTAGTGGAGATGGGTTTTACCATGTTGGCCAGGCTGGTCTTGAACTCCTGACCTCGTGATCCGCCTGCCTCAGCCTCCCAGCGGGCTGGGATTACAGGCGTGAACCACCATACCCAGCCATAAAAAAACTAATGCCTTTATATAATTTCAAGAAATCCGATTAAATATGGTCAATTACAAATACTGATTCTCATTCACATAATGAAGGTCCAAAGGTTCATAAATGTATAACTTTCCCTTTATTATTTTTTCTCATGCTATAATTGTAAATCGAACCTATACAACCAATCCACTAATCCTACAAACACTAAACATTTGCATTAGTTTTTTCTTTGCTTATTTAATTCAGGTTTTCTCAAAAGAAAGAGAATAAGAAACTATGCTGATGCCTATGTCCCAGACCTAAGGTATCATATTTCAAATCAGCCTAATTCACCAATGCTGAAAGGACAGCCAGTGACTTACAAGTATTTTTTACCCCAATAAATATCTGAATTTGTTAATCCATGGTCTGGAGCATTCAGTTCAGGGCTTGATATTTAATGAATATATCTATATCCAATTCTACCCATATGCATATGTATATGTATATGCATATATATGTATATATATATATGCATATATATGTATATGCATATATATTTACATATTAAATGATTTCTATAATAATAAGGTTTTCAAAAATCAAACCACAAGATTACTATTTTTCCAGTTGTATTTGGTACAATTAGATGTGTGCTAAGATCAATAAAACATTTTAACAGCATTTTCTACTGATATTTAGCTACTATTTGGTAATAAATGCAATTTGTTGTACAGTCATATCCCATTTAATGAGAGGGATACGTTCTAAGAAGTGCATTGCTAGGCACTTTTATCATTGTTCACACCTAAGAGAGTGTACTCATAGAAGCTTAGATGCTATAGCCTATCACACCTTTAGGCTATATGGGATAGTTTGTTGCTTCTAGGCTACAAATCTGTACAACATGTTTCTGTACTGAATACTGCAGGCAATTGTAAGAAAATGGTAAGCGTATGCATATGTAAACATAGAAAAGGTACAGTAAAAATATTGTAATTGTATAAGACGAGCATTATTGATTGAAACATCATTATGTATTGTATAACTGTATTACAAATCATAGTAAATAAATCAATGAATAAAATTCAACAATGAGTTTCCTATTACCTCACACTAGTAAACTTTCAGACATAATCAAAGTTTTAGAGGGACTACTACTTCAGTTATTTTTTCTTTTGTTAAACGCTAATCCCTTTCACTTAAATAAATGCAGGAGAGCATCTGGAGAAAAATGAAATGCTAAGGTGACTTTTTTTTTTTTTTTTGAAAACATCCCCTGGGAAGAAAAAGGGAATTAGGGGCAAAGCTGATTGGGTAGGTTTGTTCTAAATTGCAAAGCATCCCTGGTTGTACCCATTCTCCCTCGTGCCTAGCTCAGTCAATGTTCTTCTAAGTCTAATGCAAAAACCATCTATATTTTCCCTTGATTTTAGTTGAATATTAGTTTGTCTCTAGAAACCAAAGACCAAATTGTCTTTGATAGTTTTGGTCTTTGATAGTTTTCAAACTTGTTCTACAAACATTTTAATAATCTTATTGCAAAGCAAGTACTGTATTTACTACAAAACTGTATTTGTGTTTTATGTAATTATGAAATGTGATGTTTCATTGTTTATACTAAATAGTTGCTATAACAACTAAATGGTTGCAATATCTTCCCTTGAAACTTAATTTGATTTAATAAAAATTTATTATATGTTTATATTTATATTTCATGCTGAGCAAATCTTGTTATGATTAAAATCTTTAATTTTTTAATAATTATATCTGTCATCAACATAAATAATGTAATTAGTAGCATTCAAAGCAATCTTTGCAAGCATGCATTCATTGCCAGAATGACAATATAATGCCAACTCACATGTATTGTTGCAGAGTGTTATATGATATATTATTTAATGTGCACTTTAATATAAAATATGCAGATTATTGTTAGTATATTGTAGGCCAATATATTTACATTTAACTGCAGTACTTTATTTTTGCATCACTTTGCCTTTTTTATAATATGGTATTCTCTATTCTAACATGTCGCTCTGTAGTTTTCCCATTAAAAGACTTTAAAAATTTAATATGTTAATCATGTAATTGAACAATCAAAAAAGAAAGAAAGAAAAAGAGAATAAAAATATTGAGTCTGTATCTCAAAAATTTTATTAATAAATAGGATATTCAACAAAACTATTATATTTCTTTCTATAAATTCTGATGCAATTAAATACTGTCTCATTAAACAATTCTGAGAGAACATGTTTATCATAAAGAATGAGGCACATTTTCACAAGTACATCTGTGTATCTGAATTTAGATCGATTTGTTTATCAAAATAGTATTTAATCTTGGAAATAAAGACAGGAGTTTTTGTTTGAAATTTTAAAAAACTCCAGTTTTTGAAGAATTGAGTTTCTGAGTTTTTGATTCGAATTGAGTAAATTCACTGGCAATTTTTGAAAATGCTAAACTACTAAAACAATAACTTTTAAATAAAAAGCGGAGAAATTTTTTTTTGCATTTTAAATTCAATTTTGAAAGTACTATCAAAACTCCCTAGGTGATATTAAAAACTAATATAAAATGTTATACTCTAAGATAGGAATGTGATAAAATTATTTATTTATTTGCTATTTATTTGCCATACATGAATATCAACCAGATATTCAAAATAAAGGACCAGCCAAGGTTTTTAAAGATGGACCAGCAAATAGTCATAATAATTCCCTTGTATATGGAGTAATTTTCCTATCTTTTAAAAAGTTACAATTAAATAAATATTTATTTCTACTTGAAAATAAACCCTCTTAAAACGGCAGAAAATGGTCATCTAGATAATATTAATATGATCTAGAACAAGGGCTATTAAATGTATTTGATGAAATCAGAAAAACTATGTCTTTATATTAAACTTAAAAAGCTTGTTTTGTGCAGCCTAAGTGAAGTGGGGAATTGAGGAAGTCTTTATAAATAGACTACATCACTGTCTTTCAAGGATTCTTCAGCTATACTTTAGGCATGTATACATGTAGCTGACACTACATTAGATATGAGAAACTTAAGATGTGTATCTGTTCTCAATAAGGAAGAACATTCAGAAACTTTTCATGGTGTGAATAATTTAATCAATTATTAGAGAGATGTCTTGAGTCTTCTTTGAATATTAAATCTTCTCTTAGCTTGATATCTATTCAGTTACAATTCTCTTAACATCTGGGACCATCTAAATTTGGCAAGAATAAGTAGATGCTGGCAAGAAAACATCAAAATGAAGACAATACACAAAGTGAAAATGTATTATACTTACCGAGAAATGAATCAAAGAAGGAACTAAATTTTTAGAGTAAGATGCGACTTTTTTAGCTACGATTAGCTTATATTTTATAAAAATGAAATTTAGAGTACATCCCAAATATATTTTTACAATTAACAAAATAGGATGTTGCAAACAAACAACAAAACAAAAACTGGGGAACAAAACCGAGCTAGGATAATCTGATTAGAAATTCTATTTGGCATCCGAAAGACTACTTTATTTCATTTCCAGAGAAAATTCTGAAAATTTTTGTTCAAATGTTGAAGTCACACTTAAATAGCTCACGGTTATCCTTAAACAAAGTAATTATTTATATAAGTAAATAATAATTATATTTATTGTGAACATGAGATGGATTATATTAAGGAAGGTATTACACAGACTAGTGACAGGAATTCCTAATAGAGTTTATTATCACGAAATACATTCATAAAAATGTAGACAACAGACTCATAAAATCAAAGTATATAACAAATAGAAATCATAAATAATGAAATCATATTTCGGTATACTCTTCATCATTCATACATTTTATAATTCTTAATATTTAATTCCCTGGTTAAAGTGCAACTGATGTTATTAAAATAACAGGTTTACAAGATTATAGGATGAGCAGAAAGTATATTTGCTTACCATTTCTATAATAACAAAATAATAGCAAATGTAAAATATTTTGCTATAATTTAAACAAACATATAAAAGTGAACAAAAAGGGCAAAGGGGACATGTTCGTAAATCATTGTAAATCAAATCAGAAAATAGGTTTGGTGTTTTGTTTTTTTATTTTTACATGCAATAAACTTAGATCTTTCATTTGCCAATTACTATTGTTAAAGTTTTAGGTGACAAAACGTTGATTGAGAAAAGTACCTTGTTCAGTAAAAAGTAAATAACTATTAATTTTATACCATTTAAAAAGAAAATACTAGAGTAAGACTAATCAAAGATTACTTTTATGGAGAGATTCACTAAACAATGCATTTAAGGGTAAACCAGTATGAATGTTTTTTCTTAGGGTACTCATTAAGAATATATATCACAGTGATTCCACACGTGCTATGCTCCTTTGAATAAATCCATTATTTTTCTCAGCAGTTAAATAAACAAAGTCTGCGTTCCCTGAATAATAGGAAGATTTGATGCATGTGCCTGCTGGCTCGCTTCCTCTGTCCCATTTGCAAGCTTCAGTGACTGCTCCCCACAGAGCACCAAAGGAACACAACAAACACGTGAAGAGATCACTCTCATGCCACAGAATGAGCTTCGCAGTCACTTGAATCTCTACATGAAGGTGTAAATTCAGAGCAACTTACCCGATTCTCTGCAACAAAGATGGTAAAGTTTGCAAGGAGTGAAAATCAAGTAATACTTCGGGGAAATGCAGGATGCAGCTGCTGCTCCAGCCTGTGAATTGGACTGCACTGACATTACAATCAACTGTTACTGACAAAGCTCGCGAGATTTGGCAGCAGCAACTTGATCTAGAGTCAGCCAGTCTTTACTTTCTGACATCTGTTCAGAGGCTAATAGGATGAATGCAATAGTGATTCATTTGAAGAAGTATTACGGGATTCATGCTGGATAACTGCAGGGACTCTTCTAAGAATGAAGAAAAAAGCATAGAAGCTTCTTTAAAATTATCTGAAATGTAACAGAAAATGCATTTTTTAACACTATCTGAACTTTAAAAATTTTTTTTTCTCTTTTTTAGAATATACATATTTCCTATGCTTGTCTTAAGATTTAAAGATGTACACCTCATTCTAAAGAAATGTTATTATCAAAATCCGTTATAGTTTCAATCTGTGCTAACTGTGCAGTTAGACAGTAAAAGAGAAAATAAGAAACAGAATGCTCTAGATATAAGCTGTGCAAATAAAAAACTTAGTTCTATTAATTGAATGGATGTCTCTGATATGTGTATCCTTTCAAGCCCCACACTCTAACACTTATTTAAGTCATACAAATTTCAGCCTTGGTAATTTCCTATTCAGAAGACCCTGTAGGCAGTCATATATAGTGAGAAGCCACAATTTTCTGGTCAAGATGGGAAAATAAAATGAATGATTTTCACCAAACTCTACAGAGGAGACACATTTATCAACTGGCAGTGGACATGCTCTAGAGAATATATTCATGTCTTCGGAGCTCACCTTTCTTGAAATGATGTTCAGGAAAACAATTTTTTAAAAAGGCTTTAATGAACTCTTTAACCCCTATCTTCTCAATGTCATATAGTCTTAATCTTTTGTAAGTGATAATTTTCACTTTTAAATCTCTTACTTTTGGGCTCACTATGGACTAAACAGAAGGCATGTATTAATATTTGCAGGTAAGCACTTCATTTGGCTTTTAATAGTGTGTTAAATTTTCAAACAAACAAATATAATTGGCATCTGTTGTCATTCTACAACAGTCATTATAATTGACAATTTAAATATTTTGTATTATTCCAACAAACATGAGAGTTAAATATTATTAACCACCTCATCAGATGAGAAAGCTAAGGCTTATACAAATCAAAATATTTCTTACCACTAGAAGCTGCTGGGAAACATAATTTTAATCTATATTGTTCTCATATTTCATGTCAACTGCTTTGAAGAGAGTAACTGATCTTTTAAAAGTGTATTTTCTGTGAAAATTGCTACTTAGGCAGTATTGATTCAATAATGAATATCACAATCACAATAATTTATAATGTATTTAGAATATAGTTTGTGTAATAACAAGTTAGTTCCATATAAGTTACAGAATACGTAATCTATCTAAAAAAGAGAAAAAGGAGGCGGAGCACAGTGGTTCATGACTGTAATCCCAAAATTTTTGGGAGGCCTAAGTGGGCAGATTGCTTCAGTTGGGAGTTCAAGACAAGTTTGGGCAACATAGCAAAACTCCATTTCCACAAGAAAATGGGTCAGGCATGGTGGTGCATGCCTGTATTCCCAGTTACTTGAGAGGTAGCTGAGGTAAGAGGATCACCTGAGCCTAGGAGGTTGAGGCTGCAAGCCATGATTATGCCACTGCACTCCATCCTGGGTGACAGAGTGAGATTCTGTCTCAAAAATAAAATAAAATAAAATAATAAATAAATAAATAAAAGCAGGAAAGGCCTTTTAAATGGAAGTATACTGACAAATATGCAATGGTTTGTATAGTGATGCCATTTCTGTTTAAAATACTGCAATTCTGTTGTTCTGTTGTTCCACATGAGAGTTCATGAGTTCATTACACATGATTTTAAAAAATCCCAATGCCAAAATTCTTCTTTCTGACACAAGTCCACTGCATTGTTTCCTGTGCTAGCATAGAGTCAGTCTTACTTTCAAACCTGGCAAGTACTAAGGCATGTTTTGTGATGTTACAGAATTCAGCAGAGCATTTTACATGCTTCCTGTATCTACTCACTGCTATGTAAAGTATATCACATATATACATATATTTAATTTTTATCTTTAAACAAAAAGCTAAACAATAAAATAATTGGTTCCAAGCAGATCTCTATCTTTACTGCATGTTTAAACTGGCTAACTAGCCACATCAACTGATTACTAAAGTTGGCAATTTTTCTTCCGCTTATTGTCTTTACTTCAAAGAACCACCTTCTGTTCCTGCCCCTGTAGTTCTTTCTCTCTCATGATTTCACAGCTACGCCACATTATTCAAGTCATTATTTCAGTGCACCTCTAAAGCATTTCTTCTTCCTGTCTTGAGAGCTTCTCCCTTTGTGGCTCAACTTACAGCAGCTGCTTGGCTTCTGCGGTGCCATCATTTCCTCACACACATCCAGCCAGAGGATGTAGGTCACACACAGGGAGTTTCTTTCAGGGTTAGTAGGCAAGCACTATTCCATTACCTCACAACCTGGGTGGTTAATGATCCTGCTGTTCAATCTTGAGTATGCCTTGTAAGCGACACTGATGGAACACCACAAGACACTTGACAAGGCATTAACACTGCTCAGATTTTGCAACCATATATGCTCAAGTTTGGGCAGGACAATCATGACGGTCTTGGCTCTGTGATCACTTTCAGTTAGCCAATCACAGTGGCTTTTAAAAAATTATTATTATACTATAAGTTCTGGGGTACATGTGCAGATAGTGCAAGATTCTTACATAGGTATACATGTGCCATGGTGGTTTATTGCATCCATCCCCAGTCATCTACATTAGGATATTTCTCCTAATGTTATCCCTCCCCTATACCCCCACCCCCAGCAGGCCTCAGTGTGTGATGTTCCCCTCCCTGTGTCCATGATGTTCCCCTCCCTGTGTCCATGTGTTCTCGTTGTTCAACATCCACTTATGAGTGAGAACATGTGGTGTTTGTTTTTTTTGTTCTTGTATCAGTTTGCTGAGAATGATGATTTCCAGCTTCAGGTCCCATTTTAACTCAGTTACCCATGTTTTCTAGTTGGTAGCATTCAGTAAGATTTGAGACAGTGTGAAAAACATTAGTGTTATCATATAATATATTAGTCTTCCTTAGGCATAGTGATGCCAAAAAAGTGCTCTAAACTTTTATTAATTTTCTATTGTTTTACAGTAGCACTGCATTCTCTGAAAAAAATATGAATAACAAAGAAAAGTGTATTTCTGCATTTCACATATCACAGAGAAGGAGAAGATCATTCTATGTATTCCATTCAATATTTTTAAATCTATGTATGTGGTTGTAGTTACATAGAGAAATATAGAAGTAGTCAAATGGCTTATCATTATTCTTTTTGCTTTTTATTTTGTGATATTAATTTCTTATTGAAACATTTTGATTACTGTGTGATTTATTATCATATGGGCATAATATATTTCACTGTATCTCTTGTTACTTATATGATGATAATAATAACGTTAGGTAATAAATATTATTTGAAAGCATGATTCTATGCACTTTGAATACCTTAATTCATTTAAAATTCATGGCTATCTTTAAAATAAGTACTCTTATTATCCCTATTTTACAATTGAGAAAATATAGCCACAGAGGATATAACTTGCTCCAAATTATACAGATATTAAGGTTAGTTTCTGATTGTTTTAAGTAAGTTTTATTACAATAAGGACTGCTGGGAAGATAGCCGACTAAGAACAGCTCAGGACTTCAGCTCCCAGTGAAAGAGCAGAGGGTGAGTGGACACCGCATTTCCAGACGAATTTTTATTGCCCACAGACCAGGAGATACCCAGGCAGAGGGGTCCCCAGCGCTGCTGTTCCTGCAGGGGGGCTGATTTGGCCCGCGCGGCTGCTGTGACCACGCCCTGTTGCAGCGGTTCTCCGTACAAAAGCCACTGGTCTGGGACCCCTCTTAACTGGAGATCGGAGCCCTGAGACGGCAGAGTTGCCCATTCATCTGAAACAGTGAGCCAGGCCAGGAGATTCCTAGGCAAAAAATCCGCAAGGAACCTCGGCTCGCCGGCTCAGTGAGTCACAGCACGGGAGACTTATCTGAAAGCTCTAGATGTTAGCTTCTGAGCTCATTCTTGGTGGTGTAATTCGAGTTCTTGGAACGTAGGATTTGCAGTATCTTCATGGCTGTCAATTGGGGGCTGCTTTCCTCCTGGGGCTTCCTGCCTCCCTAGCTCTGTAGCTCCACTTTCAAGCCAGCAATAGTGTGCTGAATCCTTCTTGGGTTTTGAGTCTGACTTCCCTTAAAGGGCTTGTGACTAAGTGGGGCCCACTTGGGACAACCTTGTCCTACAATAGAATGATCACCTGCATGATCTCATGTACAAGGTCTGCCCACTCAAGGGGTTATGTAGGAAGGTCTTGGGCCACACCTGTGAGGATGCTGCTCTACCACCTATGACATCTGCTAGTCTTCCCGAGACAGGTCTTGGCTCCCTCAAATGACCACAGCACCTGTAGCTGGAACATGAGATGCTGAAGCTCTGGGGCCGAGTCTCATTCAGGGACTTGAGTATGTTCCACCAGATATGTCTCTGCTTAGACACAGCTTTTAAGACACGAACTACATATCCCAACTTAAGAAGGCCTTCTAAGATCAAAAGTGGATCCTTCCAGCTTGTGTGATGTTCAAAGCATACCTAAAAGTCTCACTTAAACTAGCTCTGCTACTAATGCCATCATCACTCACAACTTACACTGCAGGCAATAATGAACTAAAGCTCTCCAGGCATGACTCGCTGACTGTGGTGGGAGAGTTAACTCTCGAATGCCCCTTGTAAGGCACCAAAGGATTCCTCTGGAGATCTTCTCATGGAAAAATCCCTATGCTGGGTGAGTGCTGCCCCTCTAGGCCAGAGGGAGTAGTCTTGTGCTGGCTTTGTACTCACCACCCAAGAACTGGAACAAGGAACGTAAAGGATCTCTTCAAGGAGAACTACAAGCCACTGCTCAACGAAATAAGAGAGGACACAAACAGATGGAGAAACATCCCATGTTCAAGGTTAGGAAGAGTCAACATCGTGAAAATGGCCATACTGCCCAAAGTAA